GCTGCCAGACCTGCTGAGCTTTTCCAGCACTTTTGTTTTTGTTCCTGGATTCTAAGGATTCATACTCAAATAGGGTTTAGACATTTGTTACAAGTTGAAACTAACTAAAATCAACACTAATGAAATGCACTTTAATCCAGAACTGCATCAACTGAAAAAATTAAGGAGCAACTTTATCATAAGTACCCCTTGACAGAGAATTTGTTGCAGCACATTTTAAACATACAACCCGCCATTGGCACTGAATGCACATCTGAAACAAAAGGCCTAAAGGCAGCTTGAAATTCAGCCCTGGGACTCATTTACATTACTTTGACAAGCTGCGAGTACCTGTTGTGCCTCCACTGACAGCTTGCCCATATCAATTAGATGAATGTTTCGGGCCTAGACCCTTCATCAGAAAAGGGGGAGGGGAAGGGGGTTCTGAAATAAATAGGGAGAGAGTGGGAGGCGGATAGAAGATGGATAGAGGAGAAGATAGGTGGAGAGGAAACAAACAGTTCGAAGAGGCGGGGATGGGGCCAGTAAAGGTGAGTGTAGGTGGGGAGTTAGGGAGGGGATAGGTCAGTCCAGGGAGGACGGACAGGTCAAGGGGGCGGGATGAGGTTGGTCGGTAGGAGATAGGGGTGCGGCTTGAGATGGGAGGAGGGGATAGGTGGGAGGAAGGACAGGTTAGGGAGGCGGGGATGAGCTGGGCTGGTTTTGGGATGCTGTAGGAGGAGGGGAGATTTTGAAGCTTGTGAAATCCACATTGATACCATTGGGCTGCACGGTTCCCAAGCGGAATATGAGTTGCTGTTCCTGCAACCTTCGGGTGGCATCGTTGTGGCACTGACCAACCTCATCCCGCCCCCTTGACCTGTCCGTCCTCCCTAGACTGACCTATCCCCTCCCTAACTCCCCACCTACACTCACCTTTACTGGCCCCATCCCCGCCTCTTCGACCTGTTTGTTTCCTCTCCACCTATCAACTCCTCTATCCATCTTCTATCCGCCTCCCACTCTCTCCCTATTTATTTCAGAACCCCCTTCCCCTCCCCCTTTTCTGATGAAGGGTCTAGGCCCGAAACGTCAGTCTTTCTGCTCCTATGATGCTGCTTGGCCTGCTGTGTTCATCAGCCCTGCACTTGGTTGTCTCGGATTCTCCAGCATCTGCAGTTCCTACTATCTCTGATTCAATTAGATGAATGTCAAGCTTGTTGGGTACTTTGGGGCCAATTTCAAGTACTGTGGGGGTGTACTCATGGTATCGCTATGACTTCCTTTTTAAAGATGTATCAGAGATAGTAGGAACTGCAGATGCTGGAAAATCTGAGATAACAAGATGCAGAGCTAGATGAACACAGTAGACCAAGCAGCATCATAGGAGCAGGATCCTATGATTCTGCTTGGCCTGCTGTGTTCATCCAGCTCTACATCTTGTTATCTCCTTTTTAAAGATGTTTGTTTTTCTAATAAAAAAAGGTCTGGATTTCACAGTCAACAGCCAAGTGATGATGCTCGACACTGTCATTGAACTCAGAACTCTCGGATTTCCCCTTTCCTGGTGTCAATTTGAATCTGGCACCAAATTAAGGGGATCTTCCAGCATTCAAAAGGGGTAGTCAGCTCTTTGCATGGACGAGTTTTCATGAACAACGAACCAACAATTAAACATCATTAAATACATAGGAACAAAATTGAAACATCAATAGACCCTTCCATCCCTTCAACCTGCTCCACCTTTCAACTATACAATGGCTGATCCACCTCAATGCCATTTTCTGCATTAGCCTCAAATCCCTTTGAGATCCAGCAATCTATCAATTTTTCACCAGTGACTGAGCTTCTATTGCAGTGAATCCCAAATATTACCAACTTCTGAGTGAAGACATACCTCTTCTTTTTCAGTTCTAAGAAGCCTATCTCTTGTTTTTACACTGTTCCCTTTCCATGGCAAGTATGCATTCCTTAGTGAAGGTGACCAAACATAGGGTCTATATAATTGCAGCCAAATATCTTTACTCTTGTACTCCAGCTTTCTTGCAATAAAGGCCATCATGTTATTTGCCTTCCCAATTGCTTGTTGTTCCTGTATGTTCGCTTTGAGTGACTCATGAACGAGAACATTGAGTTTCCTTTGGACATCAATGCCTACCAAAGTCGATAGCTCCACCTTTTCCCACATTGTATTCCATCTGTCATGTTCTTGCCCACTCACTCAGCCTGTCTAAACCTTCTTAAAGTCTCTTCCCATCCTTCACAACTCCCATTCCCTCCTGGTTTTGTATCATCAACAAACTTAGAAATATCACATTTGGTCGCCTTCAGCCAAGTGATTGACATGGACTGTGAACGGTTAGAGTGGACCAAAGATAGGATGGTAAAAATAGAAAGGAGCCAATAACTATATGTCAGTATGCACCTTCATTTCTCAACTCTGCTGATTTTCCCATGGATGGGAAGAAATAAGTTGGTTGATGGGGTTTCTCAAGATTTCTCAAGGCTTTCCTGGGATCTGACAGGATCTGACATCGGAAATCTCTGAAGCAGTCCAAATTCAACGGAGCTTTAACAAGGCTCACAGGGCTGAAACTGTTTTGTTTGAAAGAAAGAAAAGTACAATTTTGCCAAGGAACGTCTCAATACCCTATTAGATGTCCCAGCTCTCCATTTATTCCACCAAGATGATGAAGATGATCTTGTCCTTTATAAGGCCACACTCAGAACATGGCTCACTTCCCTGGTTTCCCAGCTCCATTCCAATCTTCTGGCCATTAATTAGTTGGTACATCAGTCTCTGGGGTCACTAAGACTGTGGCCCTTTGAAGATCCCACCTCCTCTTCAAATGGGAAACCCAGTCCCACAACAGCTAAGATACAAATGATTGTTTCCAAGTTGCCACATCATACCCAAGTGAGACACTAATAGTCATAGGTCAGCTCCTATATTCAGGTTCCCTTCTAAAGTTTTGCCATTAAATCCAAAAGACCACCTTCAGTAAGTGTGACACACTCATATTTGTGGTAAACATTGACCAAACTCCCTTCTATTTGCATTGAGGAAAATGATGAGATATGTAACAGCAACCATGCTACCGACCTACCCAGCAGTCTTCCCTAGATGTGTACAAAGTTTGAAAGAACATTCCCAGTAGCACGCCCTTTCTGTGCAATGTATTTATGATGACATGTTCCATGGGGCAGATGTTCTTACTTGCTCTGTGCAGAGGTATTGGAAA